AGCTATAAATAGAGAGTGTCATTGATAGCTGATCACCACGAAATAGAGAGAAACACATAGAGAGCTTTGAGAGAGAGTTGAGTTGAGTTGAGAAGTTTTTTCTCCTCCTCCTTGTTTTTGTTGTTTGTATTGCTTTTGAGCTTGATTAATACAAACCAGAAGCTCTATGGAGTAGGCAAGTTGTTGAACCACGTAAATTGATGTGTGTTTGAATGCCGGAATGTCCTAACAGAAACCTCACTTAACAGTTTAAACTATTAGATTGATATAATTCTTCGATATTTTATTAGAGCCTTAATGACTAAGCAGTCACGAGTTCGAATCTCACTATCCCCTTTATTTAATAAAAATTACTACTGTGAGCCTTTCTCATGACTACAAGCATCTCATGGTTCAGTAGAATGTTGAAGAAAAATAGTGTGGTAGGCAAGGGCAAAGCTAGGAATTTCCTAGACTAGTAAATAAATATATAATTTTTTTAAGATAAATTATTAACTCATGTACATGAATTTTTAAAGTTAACAATAAAGTTTTAATTCAAATACATTAACCAAAATATTAAAAAATAAATTTGAAAGTATATAAAATTAAAGTGAAAGTAAAAATAAATTCACTATTAAAGTTACATCTCTCGATATTTTATGGAATATAATTCATCTATAATCGAATCTAAATCGATATTGAAACAACCCCCCAACCGAGATAAAATAACAATCTCATATCAATTAAAAAATAAAATAATTAAATTTTTTCCTTCTCTCAATTCCTCCTTCCTTCACTTGATTCTTCCTTAAATTAGTATTTTATAAGTTGGACTTGCAAGTTTACAAGGTTATTCTCTCACTTTTCTTATTTTTTTTTCTTGGAATTTTTTTTACGTTTTCCCTTACTTTTCTCTCTCTCTCTCGCCTTTTCTATTATATTTCTGCCTATTCAGCAATATATAAAAGAAAAAAAATAATTGATTTGTTTTATTTTTTAATGGAAAATAATCATTTTACCCTTAATGAGTTGTTTTGCTTTTATTGGATGTTTTTTTTGTTAGCACTACCAAATTCTGTTTATCCTAAAATTTTAATCAAATTTTATTCAATATATTTTAAGATCCCTCGTAAAATTTCAGCTCAATCTGATAGTCAGATTGAAAATTACACCCAATAATATAAAACTAATCAGATTGTAATTTTTTTTATCAAATTTCTGAATTTCTCCAAACATAATCCAAGTTAAAGTATTATATTAGAAGGCTCCACATAAATTTTTAAAATTTTTTGATACCTTAATTAAGAATTATAAATTTTCTTTATATAAAACTAGTAAAAACAATTGATAAAATATTGACCTAGGCCAGAGCCCACCCTAGCCCATGCATGCCTCTGCCATTGGTGGCAGGAGTTTATGTACAATAAAGTAAAAAAGTAAAACCAAAGAGCTAGAAGAAAGTTGGAGTGGAAATAATATTTTATTAAAATCTTAAACAATCAAGAATTAAACTAACCAAAAAAATCATATTCTAAATAGGAAAAATAATTCCTCTATTTTCAAAAAAACTAGAGTGCTTGTGCATCCATATCTTCTTAAATGTCATTGATTTTTTTTTAATGTGCTTGTAGTTTTCCATGAGTGCATTGAATTGATAAAAATGCTATATTTATTAATTCTTCTATCGCAACCATCATATAAAGGGATCAAAAAACCAAGAAGGCTAGGTAGATTTCATCAATAGCAAGTCCAAAGCACGGATTTAGAAAGGTATGTCTTTGTTTTCGAAGTGTCTATCTACTATCTGGTCAGGTATTTTCTTTATTATTAACTCTGGTGATCAATCTTCTAGAGTTCGGTTTTGGAATGATATTTGGGTTGATGACATGCCTCTCCCTAATCTTTATCTTTGATTATATCGAATGTCAGCTCAACAACTTAGTACTATCAATAGTATAGGGTTTTGGGATGATGGTTGCTGGTTGCTGGTATTGGAATCTAAAATGGAATCGATGTATGAGAAACAATGATACAGATCACCTTCATGATATGCTGAATTTCATTAATCGCATTGACCTTCACAGTTATAAAGAAGAAAGAAAAATACAGACTTTAAATGGTAAAGGACACTACACGATTAAGTTGTGTTCTATTATCTTTGATAGACTCATTTACCCGGGTTTGAATACATATAATGCAATCATTTAGAAAGGCGTTTCTCCACAAAAAAAAAAAAAAAAAAAAAAACTGAGATACCACTACAGTTAGCAATGCACAACAGGTTATGCACTCTATCCTTTTTTGTTCAAAGGAAAATTATGATGATGCTGGAAGATATATGTCCATTTTGCATTTCAAGATCAGAAACTATAGATCACATCCTTTTTCATTGTCCGATATCTTGGAATTTCTGGAACATAATAGTTAGCTGGTGGGCCTTTCATGGTGCATACCTTCTTAGATGATTTGTTTCAAAAATGGCAAGGATTGATTGATGGAAAGTTTTAGTGAAAGGTGTGGCAAGGATTTTTCTATGGAATAGCTTGGCTTGTTTGGCATACTAGGAACAAATTCATATTTGAAGCTATCATTATGGATTGGGAATATGTTTTCTGTCTTTTCTTTCACAAGGTTGCATCTTGAATTTGTCCTATAATTCTAGTTTTATATATACTAGTATGGATCTGTTAAGAAATAGGGAGCGTGTACCGACACGGAGTAATTAGTGCCTGTAATTTATAATGCTACATTCCTCTATAACTTGTGTTTATCTTTTCTTTGTTATGCTGGATTTCCATCCACTAGATGGCCAGCTTAATGAATTTCCTTGATTTTCATTTTATATATATATATTGACAGCAAATCATGAACTTGCAAATGATAAACTAAATAAACTGATTTTGATCGCTAATTCAATAATAATCTTGAACTAAAAAAGAGATGGAAGGGACATAACTGAATGATGTAAACATAAAAGGTTGGGCAAGTGTGCTTTTTTTTTTTTTATGAAATCAAAGTTATTTGTCAAGAAACGAAATTAAAACAAGAAAGAGGCGAGGAAGATTTACTAGCAAAAACATGACAACATAAAATCCCATCTAACAATTATTTTCTTTGGCAATCTTCTTTGTGTTAATGTTGCTGTAAACATGAAAACACAAACGACTACATGGTACACGATAATATTGTTAGATGATCAATGAATAATTTTTATTATTATACTCTCAGCACGACATATTTCTACCTTACCTGTGGAGACAAAACTGACAGGTTTTCTGAGATCTGCTTTTCTTCTCTTTCGCGAGGATGAATCGTTTTCTTCATCTTTGGATTGTTTACGTTTTTCTTTCCGCATTCTAAAATAGAAGAAACCTGTCAATGATGTGTATGAACCTGAAGCTTTCAAATTATTGTTTTGAGTAGAGGCATGAAATTGAAACAAGAAAGAAGCAAAAGAAGAGGTTAGTTATACCTCTATATAACGAAAGGGTTGGTTGAATTCCAGCAGCTATGAAATTGTAGCAATCAGAGAGAGATGTTAGCTGATCAATACGGCTTCCTGCTGCCTTAGTTTGATGTCTCAGACTCAGAACTTAAGGGCTATTCCTGAGATGTCACTTTCTTTCAACTACCCAGACACGGTTATTATTTTTTTTATTAATTTCCAAGTCAGTCCCTAAATTTATATATAGTTTCAAAGAAGGAAAGAAGAGTTGCTAGCAAAAACATGACAGCATACAATCCCCTGTAACAATTATTTTCTCCGGCAATCTTCTTAGTGTCAATATTGCTGTCATGAAAAAACTAATATTGCTGAGAAGATGAAAACAAAGAAAACTACATGCGTGCAATCAGTAGCAACAATCTCACTGTTTACCTCTATATGGTGTTTATGAGATGGTCGGATCCCACCAAATTGCAGCAATCGGAAAGGTTAGCTGATCAAGAGTAAAGTATTGACGCCTGAAGATACTAGTAGAGCCAATATTGTTACAGAGACAGAATATGAGTTCTTGCAAATTATTAGTAATGCAATAATTACCAAAGATAAAAAGGTAACGTGTAAAGGAAAAGGAGAAAGGAAATTTCTTTAGAGCTCTTGCTTGAGCATCTAAAAGTTTAAGCAGGTCTATTTTGTCAACCGGGTTGTTGGGGAGGTTTTGACAGCATCAGAATCAAATGGAACGATTTTCCACACGGCAAATTAACACGTAATTATCATGCCATCGGCTGTTTCCATCTCTTAGCCGTGATCGGGTCTAATCCGATGCTCTCAAGATCAAATGGTATAAATTTCCACGAACCTTTTTTCAAAGCCTGGGAGCTCTTTTCCCAAGGAAGACTTTGACTGGGCGACAACTGAACCTTCTGTTTTTGCTTCTGATTAAGAAGTTAGACTTCCCAGTAATATATTTACAGATATTCTGATGCCATATATGTTAATTTCCATAATATAATTACATATGTACCGAAAGATTTCTTTTTATCTTGTTTTCCAAAAGACTTTTGTTTTCGTTTCCCTGTTTTTATTATCGTTTTCGAAAAGGTTTTCCAAGAGATTAATATATAACTGCAGTTTGTTTTTTTTTCTTATAGTAATTTCTTTCATAATTGGTTTTAGAACTTACTTTCAAATAATTATTTAAAGAAAGCTTACTTTGATCCATAGAAAGCTTTTTGAGAGAATCTATCATGAATGTAAATTGATGAAAAAAAACATGTCTCGTCTAACATTTAATTATTTTCACATATATCTGTGATGTGATGAAAGAAAACATACAGCAATGGTAGAGAGAAACCAATTTTCCGAATATACTCATTATATATATCCATCAAGTGTACGATTATTAAATAAAAACCTCCTTAAAATTGATCAAACATTAATATTTGTTAAACCATTTAAGAACTCATCGTAGTGGTTACATTTAACATTCTTCCACTTGACTTGAGTAATATTATCTTTGTTCATGATTTATTAAATATATTAATATAAAACCCATAGAACAATGAAAAATTACCAAAGTTTGGGGCTGATTTGGGTTAAAATTGCAAGGAATGAAAATACAAGGACCAAAGTGAAAATACTGGGTACTATAGGGAGCTTAATTGATTTTTATAGGGGTAAATTTGAAGGAATTAAAAGTTGAAGTGTCAATTAAGGACTGAATTGGAAAATGAAGAAATAAAGGACTGGTTAGTAGAAGGTGCAAAACGTCAGGGGTCCAATTAAATTTTATCCAGAGCTTCATTATAAAATGGCAAAACCTAAAGGACCAAATTGCAAATGGCCGTTCCCATCCCCAAAACGGCGTCGTGTCAATATACACTATTCATCCTCTTCATCTTACCAGGAAAAAAAAAATGGACGCCAGCTTCCCACGGTGCATACCATTACTGAGGCACAAACGCCTGCTCTTCTCTGGCTTTTATAAAGCCAGAGAAAGGCCATGAACCGAGGGGAAGAAGGGGGGAGCAGCAGAACTGAAGAGGAACTGGGGACAAAGAAGAAGCAGAAGAACTGAAAAACAGAAGGGGAAACTGAAAAGGAAACCAGGGGATAAACTGGAGGACCAGACAGGGAGGAACAAAAGGAACGGACGGGGGGGATAGCAAAGAACTGGAAGGGGAAGCTGGAAAAACGGGGAGAATGGGGTTGAACAAAACATAACCAGAGGAGAAAAACCCAGAAGTGCACAGGGGACGCAAACAGGAGGACGAACAGGGGAGGAGGCTTTTCCCAGAAAATAGAAGAACACGCTGGAAAACTAGAGAGAACAGAAAAACCCAGGAACACACAGACAGACAGAGAAGAAAAACTGAAGCGTCGTCCAGAGCACGCCATCACCATCGTTTTCGACCTCGTCTCCCCGCATCAGGTGAGTTTTTTTGTTTTTCATTCCCCGTTTTCCTTTGCATTATAATTCACATGCTAGGAAGCTGTGAATTATAATACATAGCTACAGTAACAGTGAATTGCTACTCATTTGTTTACTGTTTATGTCAGCCGGATCAGGCCGGCTGCGTCAGACCAGCACCGAATAAAAAAAAAGAAAAAGGGGGGCTGAGACCGGGCCAGGACTCGGGCCCAGCCGGCCCAATATAATTTCAAAAAAAAAAATATTTGGTAAAAAAATATTTTTATATTCTTTTATTTTTATTTTCAATATCTTACCAAATAAATTTCTTTGTGATATTAAAAAATTTCAAAAATATTTATGAATTTTTTTTTTAATTTTTTTATAGGTTTCTTGTATTGTTTTAGGTATTTTACTATATAATTAATTTGTAGGTTTAAAAAAATAATATTAATTTGTAGGTTTAAAAAAATAATATGCATGTATAGATTTAAGTTTATTTTATTAGTTTATTTATTGATGTAGAGTTATAGATTCAATATGCTTTTTTATATAATATTTACCAACACTAAAATTAAAAATATTTATAAGTAAATATTCATTACAACCTAAATCAGAAATATTACAAATAAACTATAATAGCATAATCCCATTCAGGATTTTGTGAACAACACAGGCTGTAATGAACAATGTCTAACTTCCCAGTCTGGTGGTCGCATTGTTTTTATGAACTGAATGGTTCCTTGCCTTAAAAATTTGTGTTGCGAAACTGAAAAATTAATGATGTAAGATATTATTTGAAATGGTTTTATGATGCAGTTCTGAAATTATCTTCTTGCCTAGTTCAATGGAATCCATGGCAAGTGTCAGCGAAACAGAGGATGATAATGAAAGAGTTGATGCCTCAGAGGATGAAACGAATGACCATGAGAATAAATTCTTCGATACCTGTGAGTTTCTATCGTTTGCTTCTTTTGAAAGTAACAAGTCTGATTTTCAGACATCATCGTTCTCTCCAGATGATTAAGGATTTCTTGCACTTGAATCAGAAGCAGGCATTGATCACCTTTGCAGCAGATCCTACTCAGGCTTTAAACGATCAAGCTAAACATAATAAGCCAATGTTATCGATTCCATGAAGATATGCTCTCTATTCATGAAAGGGTTCATCAGCAACTTCCATGAAGATATCTGTTCAGAAACTTCCTACAATTGGTAAGATAAAATATTAATCGGTTAAATAAGATGAATTGAATTATTATTATTATTTTCTTTTATTTAGGGCGAACATAAAAAAAAGAAGCCTCCAACTATATAATTACTAGTTTCATCCAATTTTCAGATTTTCCATCCAATGCTGTTTTTTCTCTAAGAAACAATGCCATTTTACACTTTCCATTGAGTGATTTAAACAAAAGTCCTTACTTAAAAAATCAAAATAGTATGATACAAAAGACTGTTTGGATGCAAAATTTGATACTACCTCACTTCTCCCGCAGACAAAATATTGAATAAAAATGAATGGAAGTTACATTAATTGCGAAAGGGAAGGTTAAAAACAGTAAAGAAGTTAAAAAGAAAAACAATGAATTCATGGATTATAGAACTGAGAAAGACAAATTTATTTAGTTTTGGAACTGTAGAATATGATCCTAACTCCAAAGTTTCTGAATAAAACTTCTACAACTTGTTTTGGCACTTAAAAGATCCAAACAATAACAGCATGTGAAGAACAAAAAATAATATACCTGGATTCAGCTATTGATCGATTTTCTTCAAGTGCTGGTTTGCCGAGGCAGTATTCAGAAGAAGAAGAAGAAGCACGGATCAGAGAAGAGTATAGGTTAAGCTAGTTCATTGTGATGAGATGTGGAAAGGAAAATAGTTGTGTTGTTTGACAAGAAAGAAGTTGCTGGGAAGGAAGGAAGGAAGGAACAACTTTACTGATAGTTCATGGTTCTTTTTAATTTAATTATTTATTTTGACTAGTGCTGCATATAACTAAAAACTTCAACAAAGCAAGGAGAAGCCAATTATTGAGCTTCAGTGAGTTAACGTGTGGACCCACCCAGTGTTCAATCTTTGAAAAAGCTCATCTGAAAATGTATGAGCACGGGCAAAAGGAAGCTGTGCGGTGTTCCACCTTTTTCCTTTTTCTTGTTTTAACTTAAGCAGTACACTGTAACTTGTTTGCGGTCTGTCACTAACAGCTCACCTGTGCAAATCCCTTGTGATCCGACCCCTCCAGCACCTCTGAGCAATTTTCTTATGAGCAAAGTTTTCATCAGAGAGAGCTTAATTCCTGGAGAATATGAATGTCGATTTAGGGTTAAAGCAATAATAATAAAAAAAAAGAGTATATATTCTCCATGCATGCATGTTGTTCTGAGACTAGACAATGGAATGAATCCCTGTCAGGTCTAGAAGACAGGGTTAGTTTCCAGTAATGTTGTTTGCCCATGATTGGAAGTTGCTTGCGATCCCTTTAATAATGAGATATTGTTATCAATGGCTCAAGCAATATTTTCCCACACATAATTACAGTTCCAAACACTCTTTAATAAGTTTAAAAATGAAAAATTAAATCAAAGGAATTGGGCAGCCAAACTCAATTAATTAATAACAAACGTTATTTTCAATTTTGCAACTATATAGTATTTTTATCATTACACTTCAAATGCGTTTAAAGTACTTGAGGTATGTCAATAGCTGCATTTTTAGGAGGTCAAGTTTTGGGA